CCGCCACAACCCAGACATAACGGGCCGGACGACAGGCCAAATACACCACAAGGTAGCGGCGTACGCGGATGACTTACTTTTCGTGGTGACCAACCCCGAGATCACCCTCCCAAACATCCAGAAAGACCTGCGGACATTTGGCGCTATATCTAACCTTAAAATTAACTACGGCAAATCCTACATCCTTAATGTTAGCGTCCCCGCCACACGCGCGGACCCGCTACGACGCAGCTTCCCCTTTCAATGGGCCGAACAAAAAATTAGATACTTAGGGGTATGGCTGTCCAAGCAGAGCAGAGACCTGTATAGGGACAACTTCGCCTCTATACTACACACGTTCCAACGAGACTTGAGGGAATGGTCCTACCCGCACATATCGTGGCTCGGGAGAGTGCAGGTCATAAAAATGAACTTCCTTCCGCGCCTCTTATACCTCTTCCAGGCCATCCCCACTGTCATACCAGGCCCCTTCCTTAACACACTCAGAAAAGAAATGATAAAATACGTATGGAACGGGAGGAGGCCCAGAGTGAAATTTTCCACACTGACACGTCCTAAAGACAAAGGGGGACTAGCCCTCCCAGACTTCCACCAGTACTACGTAGCCACACACCTGCAGAGAATCATGGAGTGGTCTAAAGACGGAGTTCACAAACTATGGAAGACAGTGGAAGAGGCAGAAGCAGGCAGACCGATCTCGGGGCTTCCCTGGGGCCGAGACACAACCGATAGAGGTGACATGTCCATATACACGAGACACACTATGAGAGTTTGGAGGAAGGCCGCAAAGAAAGGGAATATGGCACCGTACCCCTCCCCCCTCTTGCCCCTGACACACAACGAGGACTTCCCGCCGGGTCTGGACCCTGGAACCCTCAAACACATCTTCCCAGACAGAACCCCACGCCTACACCACTTCCTCCAAGGTGGGAAATGTAAAACACTAACGGACTTGATGGGAGAGACGCCCCCGACCTTTATGCACCGCTTCCGACATGCCCAACTGACCAATTACATCCACTCCCTACCGCAGGGACCAGCACTGGCCAGAGACCAGACCACGATAGAAGTGGTCAGCTCACACCCAGACCATGCTCCAATCAGAAACCCCGTCCGAGACACCACTATTCATGGGAAAATGGGAAACAGACCTGGGTAACACACTAACGGAAGCAGAATGGGAAACCATCTGCTACCTTACACACCACTGTTCCACTCACAGCAAAACACAGGAAACGGCCTACAAGCTTCTAACACATTGGTATAGGACACCACATCTCCTTCATCACGTAAACCCAGACCACTCCAGACTCTGCTGGAGATGTGAAAGAGAGGTGGGCACCACAAAACACATCTGGTGGGATTGCGCGTTGATCCAACCATACTGGAAGAGGATACACAAAATGCTAGAGAAGTTCGCGGACGCGCCCCCCCCCCTGGAACCGGCAGCGATGCTCCTACACCACACAACAGTTCCCTGATCCAAATACAAAAAATCCATGACCATTAGAATACTTAACGTGGCCAAACGAGTGCTCCCCCAATTCTGGAAACAAACAGTTACACCTCCACTTTCGACCTGGTTTAGCCAAATGGAAGAGCTAAGGTCGATAGAGGAACTGACCATGACGGCCAACACTACACCCACTACCTACATGAGCATCTGGACGCACTGGATTCTAGAGACGGCAAAAGAAGAGTTCCAATTAGAACTCAGGCCTAACACTAACGGGAACCACGACACAGACAGATAGTACTCAGAACACACACCCCAGACGACGCTAGATGGTCGACAGACGAACTGGACGGAACTACCCCCCCCCTTCTTCCTTTCTTCCCACCCAGACACATTCCCCCCCTCTTGCCCCCTGCGAAATACCAGAGCATCATCATTGACTGAATCATCCCCACCGCACCCATAGCGACAAGGGAAAACATATTTGGGAACGATCAACGAACACGAGCTGGTACTTACATCCAGACCGGCCCGGGAAGACACCCCAAAGCCAAAACATGCGAACACCTGAGGGAACCCTGGACAGGCCCAGCATTGACACGGCTAATGCAGTATCCACACGCCCAAGGTAAGGGTACCCTTTACCCGCAATACCACCATTCCCCTGGTTAAACACGGGAAACACCGATAGTAATAACGGGGGTAAACACAAGCCCACCACGGTCGATGACACATAGCTAAGGACACAGGGCCCGATGAGACGCCGTGGACAGGGACCATAGGGGTGGCCTACAAACACTGACACCTAATCAAAGACTGATTAATCTGGTTCAAGGACGATTACAAAGCATTATTTTCACTCAGTTCATGAAAACGTTACTTAATTTATAGTCCCAAACAAATGTAAATACCAGAAAATGGGGACCTGCGAGTCCTTCTGTGATGGGGCCTGCGAGCCTAATTTGTTACCTTTTATAATAACATGCAATGGAGACCTGCGCGTCTCACCGCAAATTTAAATACACAAATCGAATAAAAATCATATTCACAAAAAAAAAAACTACCTGCCTAATATTGTGTAGGTCCCCCTTGTGCTACCAAACCAGCTCTGATGCCTCAAGGCATGGACTCCACAAGATCTCTGAACCTATCCTGTGGTATCTGGCACCAAAACATTAGCAGCAGATCATTTAAGTCCTGCATGTTGTGAGGTGGGACCTCCACTGGTCAGATTTGTTATTCCAAGTGGTACTTCCACTGGTCAGATTTGTTAATCAATCGGATTGAGATCTGGGGAATTTGAAGGACAAGGCAACACCTTGAACACTTTGTCATGTTCCTCAAACCATTCCTGAACAATTTTTGCAGTGTGACAGGGTGCCTTATTCTGCTGAAAGAGGCCACTGTTATCAGGAAACACCAATGCCATAAAGGTGATACATTTTAAAGTAGCATCCACATGAATGCCAGGACCCAATGTTACCCAGCAGAACATTGCCTAGAGGGAGGGTGGAGCCAGCAACCGAACAACCCAGCTGCACATTACAGCAGCTCCGAGCGATCAACAGAAATAGCCCGACCGGAGCTGCAATACACAGTCACACCGACCGGGCTTCTAATCCGGAGATATAGGTGCTTTTCTCTGCGCAGCCTTGCGGCCTGCAAACCCCAAGATGGCGCCTGAGACCAATACCCCCCCGAAGTCCTCGGACGAGGACAGCTACTATGCAGAGCCTGCAATGCTGAACCAAACGTGACAGACACCTCAAGGACCCATGGACATGGGTGACTCTGCACCCTCCACCAAGGCTGACATCAAAGCTCTAATGAAGGACATTTAGTCCATGTTCCAAGCGGACATGGCGCTGGTAAGGGAAGACATAGCCACACTCACCAACAACGTGGCAACTGTGGAGGTGGTCCTAAGGGACACCAAACTAGCGCAAAGCGCTACAGACGTGGCGCTGAGCTCCTTCCGCAAGCAATGTGCTGACCAACAAGCACAACTGGCTGGCATGGAAGACCAGAATAAGGCACGGAACCTGAGGGAGTACTGGAGACAATCACCGGCTCTGAATTGCCACATTTCTGGTGATGGCTTATAGCCACACTACTGACACCATGACAAGACTCTTCATAGACTCTTGCTTCAGACTCACCAGGGCAACCTCCATGCCACGCAAAGGAGCCTGTGACGTATTGATTAAATTTGTACGGGATTCTGACCGGGGAATGCTTATGGGGGCTACAAGAGGCTCCCCTACAGTGTTGTTTGAAGGGGCACAACTGAAGTTTTATAGAGACTCCTCAAGACACACCATGATGTGGAGGAAGTCCTTTCGACAGGTCACTCAGCTGCTCCGGGAACAAGCCATCCCCTACAAGTTGGGCCCACACCGACTACAAGCAGACAAGGCAGGCATGACATATAAGCTCTCACATGCATCTGAAATACCGGCCTTCTTGCAGGCACTTGGCCTCCCAGCGCTAACAACACAGGAGACGCCTTGTCCATCCTGGACTGTTGCGGAGATCACTCCCTTTGTGCCCAGAGGAGAGGTTCAGAAAACCACTGCCCTCCCTACCTGACGCTGCAGCAGCTGAGCATGGCTCACATACCTTTTACCTGTTGCTGTTAGCAAGAGTTATAACTGATCCTCATACCGGTTGTTCTTTATTATGTTGTTTTTATGCTCTTTTATGTCTCCCCACCACTGGCTTCGTAAGTCACTGAATAGTCCCCCACGTTAAGCCACCCTCCCCCTTTTAACTCAGAGTGCCAAAGCAGCTTGTAAATTACCACTAATTACCTGCCACACTCTCAGCTAGTAACCTAGACCTTCCTATGACGCATAAATTCACCTGAGCCCAACTAACGAAGTTCCCACACTAAATACATACATACTTAGAGGTGCCTTTGTTCCTGCTACAAGTCATACCTCGACACTAAGCATACGGGCACTTACTGCTCTAAATATGCAACCCCCTTACCATATTATTGACAAACCCCTATGGAATGAGCGAGAGAGGGCAGAAGAGGCCTTCAAAAATTAAAACCGGGTAGTCCTCATTTACGTGTAACAATTGTTTTTCAGCTTAATGCTATCTGTCTTATGTTGCAAGCCAAACGCGTGACATTGTAATTAATGTGCTGTACCCACAAAAATTTTTTTTTTTTTAAAAAAAAGAACATTGCCCAGAGCATAACACTGCCTTCACTGGCCTGTCTTTTTTCCATAGTGCTTCCTGCTGCATCTCTTTCCCAGATAAAGAATGCACATGCACCCAGCCATCCACCTGACCAAAATTAAAATGTGATTCATCTCAACCTTCTTACATTGCTCCAAGGTCCAGTTCTGGTTAATGCTCATGTCCCCATTAAAAGTGCTTTTGGTGGTGAAAAGGTGTCATCATGGGCTCTCTGATTGGTCTGTGTCTATGTAGCTCCATACACAGCAAACTGTGATGCACGTTGTGTCTTGACACCTTTCTATCATAGTATTAAAGGGACACTATAGTCACCTAAACAACTTTAGCTTAATGAAGCAGTTTTGGTGTATAGAACATGCCCCTGCAGCCTCACTGCTCAATCCTCTGCCATTTAGGAGTTAAATCCCTTTGTTTGTGAACCCTAGTCACACCTCCCTGCATGTGACTTGCACAGCCTTCCATAAACACTTCCTGTAAAGAGAGCCCTATTTAGGCTTTCTTTATTGCAAGTTCTGTTTAATTAAGATTTTCTTATCCCCTGCTATGTTAATAGCTTGCTAGACCCTGCAAGAGCCTCCT